GGGTGCGCAGAGGGTGATGCTGCGGGTGCGTCCCACCTATTACTCCTTCTGGCTGGCGTCTTCTCTTTTGCCATTTCATCCTTGCGGGGACCTGTCGCTGAACACCACGGGACAGATTCGGAGTGCTTTCCCTAATGAGAACTGGGTTGGGGTGGTTGGTTACCTTTAATACTTTTAATCCTTTGTAATTGTACTTTTTTTAGACCTGCTTTTGCATGTTTCCTGATATGGCACGTGTCATTATTCTCATTCTGATTTTCTTCCTTAACGTAATTTTATGATTGGCTACTCTCTAGCGTTTTTCTAAAGCCTCTGCATCCTTGGAACTTCACCACCAAGCACATGCCCTCCTTGTTTCCCCAGACCCATTGGGATGCACGGTGACTTGCTGCACATCCAACTTCACCGCCCTCGTTCTGAGGTCGTGTGGAAAACTCTTGAGCTTCAGTCATGCTTTTTTATGAACAAAGTGGTGCTTTAGTGCCAAATAAAGAACTTCAAGGAGAATAAAAGGAGAGAATTCTGAAATAAGCAAGAGGAGGAGATCCCTTTTTGGGAAACAGGAACAAGTATTACATGTTTGTTCCTATATGTTAGTGCTTTTTTGCACATTTGAAGAACTTCTTTGAAGCAGTAGTATAGAATGAGCTTTTTGTTTATCTTCTATTTAGACATTTAGTTGAAGGTAAAACTGATGGAGTGCTTTGCATCTTTCTGTACTTCCCCTGCCTTTAATAGTAATGAAATAAAAACCATTTATTCTGCTGTCATGTTGCAGATGTTAAGATAACACTGTGTTGCTCTTAAGTAGAAACACTTGAATGCAGAGTGATGCTGGAACGATACTCATACAATGGTTGGAAAACTTAATTTCTGTAACAGCCTCAAAAATGATGTTGCTTAGTACCATTTTTTTGTATTTCCTTTTTCTAATTATCAGTCAAGTTGTGTTTGCCTTCATTATTGATGTATTTCTCACTTATCTCTTAGGTTTACAAAAGATACTGCCAGGTTCAAGGATGAATTGGATATTATGAAGTTCATCTGCAAGGATTTTTGGACAACTGTATTCAAAAAACAAATAGATAACCTAAGGACTAATCATCAGGTACTAATGCTGTAGAATAAGATTTAACTTATGTAATCAGTAACAGTTTTGAGTTACTAGCATTTTTTTTCTTGGTCTGCAATTACCAAGCAAGTTTTTAAGGTTCATGTTAGCATGTGGCTTCAGAATACAAGTTAGTAATTGCTTGTGATGTTTTTATTGCCATCCTGTTTGAAAAGACTAAATGCTTTGAATTTCGTATGTGCTGTTGCCCTTACAAGCTGACAGGATAGTAACAGTTACAGTTGATTAACACTTTAATAGGAACTTTTTAATGTATCTCCCAATACACTTTAGTAGAAGACTCATCTGAGAAAGTGATACTGCTGTCTTAACATCTATTTAAATAGAATGGCTTGCCTTGAAGTAATTGTTTTATTTAAAAGATTTTTTACAGTTTTCAGCAGTTGAGACACTTAGTTTGATTCTACTCAACATACTAATATAAGAAACACCTGAAAAACTTCCAAAATTTGCATGTTGGTACATTGCCTTATATCTGTGTCCTTCCCTATATCAACAGCTGCAATTTTTAAAACAAGATCAAAATAATTTAAGGAAAAGTTTTACCAGAGTAAAAAAATCTTTTCCCTTTCAAATTACTTGCTTTCCTTACGGCCATTCCCTATTGTATCAAAGTAGGAACAGGAGAATTTGTACAAGGATTGTACCTTGTAGGCCATAAAAGTGAGCTGTTGTATATCAAGTAATAACTTCAACAGATAATAATTACCTTAGAAATCTGTTTTTTTTAATTCAAAGAAAGCTGCAGTATTAAGTTGAGGTCTCAGTGCAATATACAGCCTTAATTTAATTTAAAGGGTTATCAAATTCCAAAGTAGCACAGTCATTAGCAAAAAAAATTAAAATGACAGGTGTAGATTAAGCTGTACTGTGTTAATACTTACATTTATTAAAAGGCACACTGTGGCACAAAATTGCCATGTAGAAAATGCTAGATTTTAAATTTCATCACCTGCTTGGGTGTTGTTGCCTATATCACTACTTAAAGAAGATAATGCTCATTGAATTTGAAAATAAGAATAATGAATTGCTTACCGAATGAAGATTAAGATGTGAATTTAAAAATCTTCATGCGTTTGAGATATTAACAAAGACTTTGTAATATAGAACTATTGTTGCTGAGCGTTGGAAGGACTCTTCCAAGAAGAATTTTAATAAACATTTTTTAGGGTTAACTAATCATATTATCTAGGATTTTTGTAGTATATTCACAGTTAAGTATCTTTTGTTTTAATATAAGCAAATAATACATTTTAAACATAAATTACATATGCCTTCATCTAAAAATTATTTTTTTGACCTGAGGACCTTTCTATTATACTTACAAATCAAATCCTTTCACATAAAACATTGACTGTGTGTTACTGCATACTTAGCTAAAAACAACTTTTTTTTTTTTTTTTTTAACAGGGTATTTATGTTCTTCAAGACAATAAATTTCGTCTCTTGACACAAATGTCTGCAGGAAAGCAGTATTTAGAACATGCACCAAAGGTACCCTTCAGTTTTATCCTTGGGATCTACCAGTTTTATTTGAGTTATCTTGATTTATTAATAATTTTATATTTTTTAATTGGATGGAAGAAATAGTTCAAAAGGGCTAAAGATTAGGCTCCAAAACTTGTGCTTTTTAGAAATGCACCTGGTTTTGGAACAGTGGATTTGATTTATGGTTCAAGAAACGAGTAGTGTCATTGTGAAACTTCCTGTTGTCATGTTTGGGTTACTTGACGGTAGGAGCTGGTCTGCCACTATCAGACTAATTCTTTTTCTCTTTGGAAAGCTTGTGCTTTCATAACCTTTTTAAAAGCTTCCAAAACACATTTGGAAGATGCTATTCATTCTCCAGAACAGGCTTCTGAGATTATATGAACATTCAGAAAGATTTTCCACAAATTAAAAAGAGTTTTGAGTGTAGATGCTGAGTTAGGGTAATAGCTGACGTAAGTAAATTCAGTGCCTCTGCAGAACCTTGTCTAAAACATTTTGGTTCAGGTGGATGTAAGAAATAGGGCATTTGGCTCAATTTTACGACTTCTTGATCTTCCTAGTCATCACAGTTGCAGGCTACTGTGCTTGGGATTTTTTAAAATTTGTGTGTGTTTGATGAAATGTTTCTTCTGTTTTGCAGTAGATCATCTAAATATAAGCAGGCCCTTGTTTTCTAAGATGCAGCCTGTGCAAGAGTTCTATCTTGGACTATTTCTCTTTTGTTGACTTTAATACCAGCTGCTAATTTCAGCCAAGTCTTGGGAGTAATTTTTTGAAGGATATTAAGTTCCTACAGGCTTAATGGAAATAGAAACAAGTGACTCAATATAGTGTCTCTTAACAAGAAAATGTGTATTGTGAGCTCTGCTGTACCAAGTATCTGAGTTCTCATCTATTTGAGACATGATGAAGCCTCCCAAGCACAGTAACAAAACCTCCATCTTTAATATTGCTGTAAGTGTTAAGTCTTCTTGAGAACTGTTTCAGCCTTTAGCAATAAGCTTCACACTCACTTAAAGTGCAACTTTATGTTCAGTATTTAGCATTTACCTGTGGATTAATCAGAGGAGGCCTGTCAAATTTGGGAATAAAGAGTATTGTAACAGCTGAAGTTTCATCAATGCCTGCATGTAAGTAGTTCTGTGAGTGTTCAGTTATTAGTTCACTTGGTAACTTTCCTTACTGACTTCATCACTGTATAAGCATTTATCAAGGTGGGATTAGTTTGAAGCTGCTAGGCTGTTAAGAGTCAGTATGAACTTCAGGATACCACTTGTCACTAAATTCTTCAGTGGTTAGAAAGTACTGACAGAAGGTGAACCTCCATGATCTGGAGCAGAAAGCAAAACTAAAAAGTTGTATTTACCTTTGGAAGCATCAAATGCGTAAGGATGTCTGGCCAGAACACTATGTGAACAAGGGAAGAAAAAAACAACTAGATGCATCCTCTTTCTCTACAGAAGTAATTAAGAAAGTTAGTGAAGTGCAGTGTAACTATCTAACCTGCTTAAGGTGGATTAAAAAATTTCCACAGGCTTTGAATGAATTTTAAATTTAGCTGGCAAAACTGTTGTGATGGGGGGACATGGATCAACCTAAAGATAAAAGAAAAATCTGTTCATCTGGAGTTAAATTAAAATGCTAAGTTTAAATAATGGCTAGATTATTCACAAACCATCAGAGTGAAATGCTCCTTATTACTTCTTTAAAAAAAACTATTACAATAAAATAATTACTTCTAAAAGTAATTCTAATGGTGATACTTTGATCTGACTTTGCTTTTTCTTTGCAGGTAAATTTCAGGTGATGATACAGAAAATGTAGTACACATCCAAATCTGGGTATCTACCTTAAAAATTGTTTGTGTGGATTCAGTATCTTGGTTCAGCTTTGTATGTAGCTTGTAAATTACAGCAGTGCACAATTGCAAAATATATAATAAATGTTAATAAAAATAACACTATCCGTGTATCTTGGTATGAAATTTATACTATACCAAGGTATTAATATCCATCTGGTTAGAACTGTGGTTGTTCACCTTTATTAATTACCAGTATAAGAACCCCGTGTTTTTCATCAAACAGCTGATCCCCACCCATGTAACAGAATGCCAGCATAGCAACAGAATCACTATTACTTGCATCTCCATGATTACAGGTCTAGTAGTTATTGTAATTCACTGTGATTTTTCACTTGATAGTTAAGTCTGCCAGCATGCCAGATACAAAAGTGCCAATCATTCAAAGACATATTAGGGGTTTATCAAGTGGTTGTGGTTAATGATTATTTTTAAGTGATGGGAGGGACTTAAATTCTACAATATATAGAAAGTAGATGTCAGTTAAAACTGTGTATCAGTTTGCTGCTATCAGCAGAATTCATAGTTCCTTTAACATGGATTTTTAATTGTTGAAGATAACAAAAACAAGAGGGAGTCTTGTAGGTACCAAGCAGATGCTGTTACTTTTGGTGCACCACTCTATGTTAAATATATAAACAGGTAAGCTAACGTATTTGTCAAGATAACATACAGAAAATAAATTTGTTCATTCTATTTAGTAAATGTTTCTATTAAAAACATTGAATACAGATGTGTAATTCTCACTGGTTTCTGCAATTGTTTACTTAAAACCAGTATTACTACTCAGGAGGCAGTAACATTTGTCTTATTCAAGACTTACTTGCTACAGTTGACCAGCTTAGCAGTGCTTAAACTCAGGAATGAAAGCTTGGAAAAAACCCATTCAGTCCGAGTTGTGTAGATTTCTACAGTAAGACAACTGTTAAATAGTATGAAGAATGAGAAAAGCCACAAAATTTAAGAACACTCTTTAAAAAGCTTCAGTTTTATTAAAAAAAGTCCTCAGTAGGTGTGTGTTAGATAAAGAACAATCACACATAATGTGACCTGTGACTTCCCCAAATAGCAGTGGCCACAGGATTACTCAGATGGTGTAAGTTTCTAACCAAGGATGTAGTCTACAGAGACAGTAGCTCTTGAGAGATGATGTGAGACACCGACCATTTTACAATGATGATGATGATGATACTGGAGACATTGACAATCTCATGCTAAAGCTCAGCTTAAGTTGTTCATAGCTGTCCCAAGTGCATTTTTGTGAGGGTGCTATGTAGGGGTTGTATAGTACTTCAGGTCTGAACAGTGCAGTGTCTTGCTATTAACTCTGATAATGCTGTTTGTACTATGGCAATGCAAAATACTTGATATTCTCTAAACAGTCTAGGAAGGCTCATCAGCCAGGTCACGTTGATCGAAGTACCTAGTGGAGAAATGTGGAATACAGTAAGAAACCTCTAATGCAATATACTCCTTGCTTTGCTCTGAGTTACTACACCCCTTGCTTTCTAGCTCTTCTTTTAGAGTTTATCATAATTACAGCTTTGCAGTTCAGGGGGCTCACCTGAGGAAACCAATAAGCTTACCTTACTCTTAGATTTATCTTAAGTCCTTTTAGTTAGGTGTATTTGCTACACAGGCCTGGAGTACTTTAACTGAGTTCCACTTTAAAAGAATCTAGGTTTGGACAAGAATAACCATACACTTGTTCTGGACTTCCTTTACTGTTTTAGGTATGTGACTTGCATTACCTGCTAACTAAGCAGATTATCAAATTCAGAGCTGATATTTTTTCTTCATTCTTGTTCTCCTGAAAGAGAAACAAATATAAGAACAGTTACTTTGTTTTTGTGTGTCAGCTAGAAAAGTAGTTACATACCATGTAATCATCCTCCTAATAATTTGTTAAATTTGGCAAGTCCTTTGCACAATGTTATGTTAAATCTTACCTCTAGTACCCTGACTTCTGAGCATCGTCTTGCAAGCTGTCGAATAAGGGAGTGAGCTTCAGGTAGCAAAGGTTTTTCAAGGCATGCCAACAGTGCATAAAGCCATCTACCCTGGGCAGATTCAGATAACAAAGTTTTAATTATGAGCATTTCCTTGAAGTTTCATGCTTGTTAGGCCAGGAGCAGGCCTGGAGCATGGGTCTCAAAACTGCATTTAAGTGCTACTGCCAGAATTGAAAAGTTTGAAAGCCAAAGTAGACACTATGCAGCAGAATTCTGTGCCTCTAGAAAAGCTTCACGTGAGCAGTAGTCCTGGATTTCCTGCTGGTATTTTAAATACTGCCAAAGATACAACTTAATACAGCTTACATTATTGAAGTCTGAGGGAGGGATTATTTTTACTAATATCTAAAGATCATTAGCTATTAATTTATAACTTTACAAACTGTGAAAAAACATTCCTGAAGAATGAATGTATCAAGTTGGATCTTTGTGGAATTAATTCTGTTAGATCAGCTTTAAGATTTGCACCACTGTGAAAAAATGTCCTTTGCATTTTAGTTCACTGAATAATATTGCATTGTTACAAATGTAACTTCAACTACCAGTCTAACTTCTTAATTTAATTGCAGTGTCTAGTGGCTTTCATTATGGAATAAACTAAAAGTCAACTTGCACCTTCTCTGCAGCATATTGGTTAAGGAGAAGACAGTCCTAAAGAAAAGGACAGAACATGAAAGACCTTTAAATGAGTCAAAACTAGTTAAACTGTCTTTAGTATTATGGAAGTAATTTTTATTACTCTTTTGCTTCATGGTGCTGAATGAGACGAGATGCATCCACCAAGGTGTTTTGTAGATATAATTTTGTAGATGAGAGTTGTGGCTGAACTCCATGCTGACATAGTCTGTCAATGAGAATTTCTTTCTAGGTTTGATTTGTCACTACACTAAGCTAAGTTTTCCGGTCTGTGCTGCATGTGGAAAGATTAAATGTGTTGCTGCCAGCCCACTGCCATGCATCTTCAAACTGAATTGGAGGTGTCAGTCAGTACATTGTGCAGCATCCTGACAGCTCAAACTGGTCAATATCAAAGCTGCTGCAGTTGGCCCCTCTTTTCTCCCCAGCACTGATACTGATCCAACGTTGTGGTTTAAATTAGTGTGGAGAACAATAAAAAGGGGAGAGGATCTGTATCTGTTATGTTTTGTAATTGCATTCCAAAAGTTCTGTGAATACTCCTTTTAGTATCTAAATAAGAAAGTTTTGAAAGTAACTGAGTACGATACACGCATCTAGAGAACTCTTCAGAAAATAATTTCATAGAAAACTATGAACAATTTATCCCTTGTTTAATGCATTCATGTGCAAGTAGTTAGAATAAATTAAAGATTACCAGTTCAGGAGTAAATTTTTTCTCTCCAAACCAGCTTACAAGGTATTCTAAGACACTGGTTACTGTTGCCTTCAAAAGAGGAAGAGAAAGGACAATACAATACTTGAAATGTTTTCTCTTGCTGTCCTACCTGAAGGATTATATTATATAAAAAGCAATGTGATTTTAAAAAAATACACATTATGTATTTCTACTTCACAGTGATACTAAATGTTATTTCTTCTAGGTTGAAATTACATATAAGGGTAAAGTTAAAGCATCAGTTTCTGGAAGGAACTTTATATAAAATTAAGTAATTTTCTGTGTTAAGAAAAAGCTATGGATAAATGGCTACAGATGAAGAAAGAGGCATCACACTGACTGGTTGTTTCTGTATGAAGGTGACTAGTGGGAAATGTGGTAGTAAAGGAAAGTGTGATTCTTCTAGCCTTGCAATGTACGTAAAGCTAGAACAATCAAGTTGAAGACTGCTCTTAAAACACTAAGTAAGGAATCTTAAAACACTCTCCAGCACCTAATGGAGCATTCAGGGAGAATTCAAATATTAAATGTTCGCTAGTAAAATTTTTTGTAGCCGAAGGTGAGATAATGATGCGTCTTCTTGTAAGTGTGCAATGAATAGTAGTTGAAATAAACAATTTTGTGCCTACTCTAGCATGGAAAAATGTTAGACTTCTACAACAAGTGGACCATGAGAAATAATGACTTATGCAGTGTCACGATGCAATTCTAAGAGGTAGGCTTACCTGATTCATTCTGCTTACAATACTTAGCAAAGGGGGAAAGCCCACCTGAAAAAAGTGCATTGGAAAAGGCAGACATTATCATACACTGTTTATTTTAATTTAGAACATATAAACATTTTAATGTGATGTTCAGACATCTGTAGTGAACTGAAAGTCTGTTTTGAGCTTTGAAATCAGTTAAAAAAATAACCTTCAAGCAAGTTCAAGGTAAGGTCCACTCAAGTTTGGTATCAAAGAACCTTGCTTTTACTGTTCTTTGTCAAACTTTCTGTTTTTTCAAAATGATGCAGTGAAGGGCATGTTTGTAGGATAGCATGTATGAGGAGAGGAACCAGCTATCGTCATTCGGCAAAGCACTAAAGCAGACTGTACAGAAAGCTTTCCATTCAGTGAGCAACCAAGTAGTGTGTTTTAACTGATATCAGATGAAAGAACTCTGTTCTTCAGTCAAAAGACTGAAGGGATGACTTTTTGACTGAAGTGATGGACTTGTGCTCTGCTTCACTCAGTTTCCACTTAAAATGGAAGCAAAATGGGACCTTCTGGGCTCACCAGAGAGCCTACTTTCTATGTAGTTATTTAGTGTTGCAGGCTGTTTTAATAAACAACGGATAGGTGAGCAATCCTGTTTTTACTGATAGAACACCTGGGCCTCGATGACCAAGGACTCTCTCATGAGAACCAGTTGATAAAAGTGAGCTAATGAAGTAAACATCCGAACGTGCCAGAAGAGGAGATGGGGTGGAGAGTCCTGATTGAGCCTGGGCCAAGAAGCCAGTCACTGTTCAGACCGTGGCAGGCTCTAGTACAACTGACCAATCATAAGTGCAACCCTGGACATGTAAAATCCGGGCTAAGGGTATATAAGTGCCTGTAATTTCTAATAAAGTTGGAGTTTGCTCTATCAATCATATTGATTGTCTTGCATTCTTCCCTCGCTGGAATACACCTCCACGAGCCGGCCAGGCACACCGACAATTTAGCATAAAGTGGTAATAAATATTATTGT